CACGAATTAAGTTTCGTTTTGTAATTGTGGCAGCGTTTCTCTTATATTCTTTCATTTTTTTCCCGTTGAAAACGTTGCAGTGTGATATTCTATTACTTTCTTTTTTAAATATGCATGTCATAATTCTTTTAGTATTCGTTTATCGTGGCGAATGAGAGTTGAATTCGGAATAAACGAATTAACAACAACGTGTAAATGGTTTTCGTCGCGCTCGTGTGCGATTCTTTCCCAACACTGCAGAAAAAACACGGAATCTCCCTCCTTCCTTCCTTAATGGCGACCACCCTCCTCCTGTCCCTCCTCATCTCTACCTAAAAAAAAGAAAGAAAAAAACAAACAAATTAACCCAAAGACGCTGATCGGGTGACCAACGAGCTAATGACAGATGAGAGCTCCGTCGAATTGTGCATGGCGGGTCAATACATTCCCGCGCCCGACATGGCAACGGGAAAACACGGCTGGAGAGAGAGGGCGGGGTCACGTGATCACTCCAGCTCCTCCTCCATAACGCCGAGTGTCACGTGAAGTACCTCAGCTTTAAAGTGGAGCCCCGTTCAAGCGCCGGAAATTATGGGATCACATGCGCTCTTCCTCTTGCACACACACGCATTCATATATATATATATATATATATATATATATATATATATATATATATATATATATATATACATATACATACACACACACACACACATATATGTATCTATCTGTGTGTTTGTATGTGTGTGTAAGAGAGAATGTGAGAGAGAAAGAGAGAGAGAGAGAGAGAGAGAGAGAGAGAGAGAGAGAGAGAGAGAGAGAGAGAGAGAGAGAGAGAGAGAGAGAGAGAGAGAGAGAGAGAGAGAGAGAGAGAGAGAGAGAGAGAGAGAGAGAGTATGTGTGTGTAAATAAATATAGACATACATAAGTATGCAGAAATATATATGTGTGTACATACACACAATGTGTGTGTGTGCGCGCGCGCACTTTACACACACCACACACATATATACATATACATCTATATATACATATATATATTAACATGCATACTTCCATACTGTACATACATACATCCATGCATGCATACATACATGGATTTATGCATACATATATGCATACATACATACATCTATACATGCATACATAAATACACATGCAACCATACACATATATATACATACATACATACATACATAGATACATCCGTGCATGCATATAGACATATATACATTGATATGTACGTATATATATACACGAAATAATTGGAAAGAATAGCTTCCATTCTCACTATATTTTTTATCCAGTCTTCCGGTAAGAAATTAGAGATGATAATGTTTCTTTACGTCCTTATTCTCATTTTTAGCCAACACCGTTTTTATAATCAGAAATGATAACTTTGCCATCCAGGCTTCAACTTGATTTCCGTTTTCTGTCCGCTTTCAGCCAAGGATGAGGTGGCGGCGCCCTTTGAAGCGGCTGCTGCTGCTCCTCATGTTCGTGTGCATGACCATCAAGCTGCACCTCGAACTGCGTATGCTGGACTCGTCGGGGGAGAGGACGCTGTTCCCCTGGCGCGCCAACGACACCGTCAGGAACACAGCCAACCTGTTTGGGTATCCCCAGCGGGAGGAGGAGGGCGTGGCGCTAGCGGGAGGACAAGCAGAGGCGCCTCCAGGCATGCGTGACGGTCGCAAAGGGATGAATCTTCAGGAATACTTCGCTCACATCAAGACATCGCTGGCGGGCGGCGTGAGGGCGAAGGGTCCAGTTCTGGCGAACAGTACAAACAAGGTCAAACCAGCGGATAATGTTAAGGGCAATTCATCTGTGATAAACCCAAGCCAAAAAGGCGACGGAGGGAGCGCGCCTTCTCAAGCCAAGGCGAACGTCCCGCCGAAGAGCCTGCCTTCAGGCAGAAAGCCCCAGGCGTCGGCACAGGGCTCTAAGTACAGCAACAGGAAGCTCACCAACGATAACTCCGAGGCCGTCAAACCCGCGATTAAAGTGCCAGTCAAACCTGCGAGGGCCAATCCGAGAGGCACTGTAAACAAAAGGGTGTCGACGCAGTCCAAGAAAGGCGTTTCCCACGACGTGGACGCCAAGGAGGTGTCCCTCACGCAGCAGGACATAGTCAGGATAAAGATGGAATTGGAGCTCGAAAACAAACTGCAGACAGTATACAACGAGCAACAGTTCGGCCCGGTGCTCGCCAATACCTCCATCTTGTTGGTCCAGGTACGTGCACTCGTCACGTGTTTACTCTGAGCTATGAGTGCGATGAACTCTCATTCTACCTAAAACGAGGAATGTTTTCTAAGCTGGCCGTAGCTAGGCACTGGCTTTTCCTGGTATGTGGTGCATGTTTTTGTGATTAATTAAGGGTCCAGCGAGCGATGCTTCCGCTGGGCATGTGTGTGTGATCGATATGGAGATCGGATTACGCCTTTATCCCCCGGAAGGAATTATCTCTATTCCATGAATTAACGTTGGTAGTACTTTCCAAGTCAAGCCTTGTTCACATACCGGAACCTCGCCTCGCATACCAAATCTATGCTTACCCTTCTCCGCACAGGTGCACAATCGGCTGGAGAACCTCCGCTACCTGGTGGAGGGGATGACGAAGGTGCGGGGCATCGAGCAGGCCCTGGTGATCTTCAGCCATGACTTCTGGGACCCCGACATCAACGCCTTCGTCACCAACATCACCAAGTTCCGCGTCATGCAGATCTTCTTCCCTTATTCCATCCAACTTCACCCGCTCACCTTCCCCGGACGAGACCCGAGGGACTGCTCGTGGAACATCAACAGGTGAGGCGGTTGGGGACGGCGAGGAAAATTGGCTGTTAGTGCTGAGGGTGACGTCTGCTTTATCGTTTACTTGTTTAACAATCTACCTATCAGTTTGGTGTTATTCATATATGTGTTTGCTTGATATATTTTTTCTATATATTTTTGGAGGATAGTTTTTTTTTAATCATTATGTTAGTATATATTTATTTATCTCTTAATATATTGTTTTTTGGGGGTGAGTAACTTGTTTAAATAAGATAATATTTCTATTTATAGCTAAATCACGATACCAAGAATGTATCTCATTTACGGAACACTAGAAAAAAATATCAATACTAACAATATAAACTTGATAACATATCACAATTCACAATGCATTTGAGAGTACCAACCCACCCAACAGCCTTATGCCGTTGTTGATTTTTCCTCGCACTTTCTACCGTAAAACTTAATTAAAAGCTAACACGAACGGTATTTTTAAAACGCAGGAAAGGGCCACTGAAATGCCTGAACCGTGCCTGGCCAGATTCCTATGGCCATTACAGAGAGGCTTCGTTTACGCAAATCAAACACCACTGGTGGTGGAAAATACACAGGTAAGGGTTATGATAAGGATGGTAAAGAAGAGAGTGATGTTAATGATGATAGTGATAGTAGTGCTAATGATCGTGAGTGATGGTAGTGATGATAATGATGGTACTGTTGAGAATGATGATGATGATATCAAAAGTAATATTAATAATAACGATAGAGGAATGAATATAAAAAGAATGATACAGGTGATGATGAGGAGGAGGATCGTCGAAGTAATGATAATGATGAGAATATGATAAGAATGTTAAGGATATAGTGATGGTATTGATGATGGTATTAATAATGTTGATAGTAATGATAGTGTTGATGATGGGGAGGAGGAAGATAATAGTGTTAAAAGTAATAGTAATCATTTCAATGGTGATAGTACTGTTAATGGTAATACTTATGATAGAAATGAAGATGCTGAGAACAATGCTAATACTAATAATGATAAAAATGTTAGTGATTTTAATACCAATTACAGTGTTACTGAGGAAGACGATAGAGGTAATATTAAGTCATAATGATGATGGGAAGCCATATAATAGTCATGATAAGGTTGGTATTCATCACGGTAAAAGAATAACAACAATGATATCAACAATAATAATGACAATAATAAGTCATACCAATAATGACCATATCTAAAGCCATGTTAACTATAATCATAAGCTGTCATAATGGCAAAGATACTATTGGTAATGACGATAATGATTAATAATTATAATCATAACAATGACAGTAGCAGTGACTATAATGATAATAAATCTTAAAAGACAAAACAGTAAAAGCAAATATAGTGAAAATATAATGATGATATAAAAATGTAACTACTTTTTAATGAGCAAAAAAAAACTTTTTGTACAAAAGTCTCAAGGCTTGAGCTCACTAGAAGCATCCAATGTTCTTTTATCTAAATAACATTAAAAACAACTTGCAGTTTCCTTTTCTTTCCTCTGTACTCCTTTCCATGTCTCTGTTTATCTATTTATTTAATGCAGTCCGTATTCTCTCTCATTCTCTCTCATTCTCTCTCTCTCTCTCTCTCTCTCTCTATCTATCTATCTATCTATCTCTCTCTCTCTCTCTCTCTCTCTCTCTCTCTCTCTCTCTCTCTCTCTTCTCTCTCTCTCTCTCTCGCTCTCTCTCTCTCCACCTGTCTATCTATCTATCTGTCTCTTTCTTTGTCTATCTATATATCTATATCTATATCTCTCTATCTCTCTCCCTCTGTTTTACCCTCTTTGTGACCCGAACCCTTTCTCCCATTCTCTCCCTATCTTTCTTTCTCTCTCCCTTCACCTCCCTTCCTTACCCTTTCTCTCCCTCTTCCCCCCTCCCTTCCCCCCACTCCTTCCCGCCACCTCCCTTCCCACCCCCACTCTCTCCTGCCCCCTAGCTCGTACCTCTCTCCCATCCCTCCCTTCCTCCTCTCCCTATCTCTCTCCCTTACCCTCTTACCCTCTCCCTATCCTCTCTCCCTTCCTTCCCATCTTCCTCTCCCAATCCCTCCCCCTTATTCCTTTACTCTCTCCCTATCCTCTCTCCCTCCCCTCCCATTTTCCTCTCCCTGTCCCTTCCCCCTTACCCTCTTCCTATCCCTCCCTTTTACCCTCTCCCTATCCTCTCTCCCTCCCTTCCCCTCTTCCTCTCTCTCTCTCCTCCCTTTAACCCTCTCCCCCCCTCCCATCTTACCCTCCCTCCCCCTTCCCCCTTTAACCCAAGCCCCTTCTCCCTCAGGGTCTTCGAAGGTCTCCACGTGACGAGGAACTACACAGGTCACGTGGTGTTCCTGGAGGAGGACCACTACGTGTCCCCCGACCTCCTGCACGTCCTCAACATCCTGCGGCGCCAGAGGAACGCCCTTTGCCCGACCTGTCAAGTCCTGGCTCTGGGCAACTACAATAAAATGTCCACCGCTGTCTACAGGAACTATGTAAGTTTTGGGGTCCAGGGATATCGTATGGGGTTGTGGCTGTCTGTCTGTTTCTGTCTGTTTCTCTGTTTCTCTCCCTGGCTGTCTCTGACTATCTGTCTGTCTTTATCTATCCGTCTCTCTATCTTTCTCTCTCTGTATATACACGTATATGTGTATGTATATATATATATATATATATATATATATATATATATATATATATATATATATATATATATATGTATATATGTATGTGTGTATGTATATATATATATATATATATATATATATATATATATATATATATATATATATATATATATATATATATATATCAGTCTCTTTGTTTTTGCATATGTATGAAATTTATGAGTTTAGGGAGGTGGATGGACTTGGCATAAGCTGAACCGAGGTAAGTTTCTTGATATAAATAGCCTAACGCTAAATAAATATCAATAATGGATTAGAATCATGCCTAATTCCGTTGGCGTCGTACTAGTTGATAGCCCATAATAACTGTAATTACACCATCTCATCTCATATTTATTGTGCATTTTCCGTGACATTGAAGTGCAATATATATTCCAAGGATATTGATATAAATGTTCTAATATACACACTAACACTTTTTTCAGTTAATCATGTAGGTTGAAGTTCGATAAGCCTTTTCAATTAACATACACACAAACATACACATGGGCACGTTCACCTTCCCATATACCTTTTCAAGCAGCGCCTAGGGCCTGACAAGGTAAGAAATATATATACATTATTAGCATCCTGGACTGCCATGTGTTCGCACAAATACACACTCTTGCAAAGGCATAACTGAACTTGTAGAAACAATGTGTAATATATTTGTCATAATCGTATACTCATGACGGAAAGTAAAGCAGATGAGAAAAGGGAGTTTTTTTTTCCGCTGACGTGAAATTAATAGTAAGTGATGATAAAGATGTTCAAAGTACATGAACGTATTATTTTTTCTCGCGATATATAAAACTTTTTTTTTTTTTAAGCATGGCTATCTAATTCTGCTAAGCTTTGAATCTGATGCACCTGTATGAGTTCTTTAAATACTTTAAACATCACTAAAATAAATTCGTGGACTATAGGGAAAAAAAGAGAAGTGTAGGTAGTATAGAATTAGCAAGAAAGGACACTTGTATCCTGATTTTATTTAGCGAATGGAAAGCCAGTTACCGTGTTCTGGTGCATGAGTCAAACTGCATGTTTTTTTTTTTATCCCATGGCAAGGATACATATTATGATCACGGGAAATCGTTAAACCAGCGTATAGATGCTTCGTTAACCATGGTTTATGCTAATTACCTGGAATTATGCGGTTACTTAATCCCTTCATAACATTTACTGGTATAAAAACACACGGAAGCTAAGTCGCCCACAATGATAAAAAACACCTCGTCACGAAAACAATTGCTTACATAAAAAGTTACACGTGCATAAAGTGTGCATGTCCGCACATATATGAGCGAGAATAAAAAAGAGGGGGCAAGAGAGAGAGAGAGAGAGAGAGAGAGAGAGAGAGAGAGAGAGAGAGAGAGAGAGGAGAGAGAGAGAGAGAGAGAGGAGAGAGAGAGAGAGAGGAGAGAGAGAGAGAGAGAGAGAGAGAGAGAGAGAGAGAGAGAGAGAGAGAGAGAGAGAGAGAGAGAGAGGAGAGAGAGAGAGAGAGAGAGAGAGAGGAGAGAGAGAGAGAGAGAGAGAGAGAGAGAGAGAGAGAGGAGAGAGAGAGAGAGAGAGAGAGAGAGAGAGAGGAGAGAGAGAGAGAGAGAGAGAGAGAGAGAGAGAGAGAGAGAGAGGAGAGAGAGAGAGAGGAGAGAGAGAGAGAGAGAGGAGAGAGAGAGAGAGAGAGAGAGGAGAGAGAGAGAGAGAGGAGAGAGAGAGAGAGAGAGAGAGAGAGAGAGAGAGAGAGAGAGAGAGAGAGAGAGAGAGAGAGAGAGGAGAGAGAGAGAGAGAGGAGAGAGAGAGAGAGAGAGAGAGAGAGAGAGAGAGAGAGGAGAGACATGGCAAGGATACATATTATGATCACGGGAAATCGTTAAACCAGCGTATAGATGCTTCGTTAACCATGGTTTATGCTAATTACTTGGAATTATGCGGTTACTTAATCCCTTCATAACATTTACTGGTATAAAAACACACGGAAGCTAAGTCGCCCACAATGATAAAAAAACACCTTGTCACGAAAACAATTGCTTACATAAAAAGTTACACGTGCATAAAGTGTGCATGTCCGCACATATATGAGCGAGAATAAAAAAGAGGGGGCAAGAGAGAGAGAGAGAGAGAGCAGAGAAGAAAGACAGATAGATAAACAGAAAGGTAGGCAGACAGATGGAATAGATGGACAGAGAAGAGAAGAAATAAACTCCCTGAGGAAAATGACTGGGAAACGCCAGGGAAGATCAAAATGCTACAATCGATTCGTTTATATAATCCCATATACTTCTTCAGCTTACAGGGAGAATTGTTAAATGCCATTGGTATTCAAATGAACCTCCTCTGCACCCTTAATGTGTTGTTAGCATTTGAATAAACAAATCTAAAACAAATGCCATCGTAATCTATTGAAATAAGATGGCCTTCATTACATCCAAGACCATAATATATGGTCAATAATACCATAACGTTATAAATTTACAGAAAGGGTTAACACCACCCATAATTTCCTTTCAGTGTTAAAATCACCCATAATTTGCTTTCAGAGTTAACACCGCCCATAATTTCCTTCCAGTGTTAAAATCACCCATAATTTGCTTTCAGAGTTAACACCGCCCATAACTTCCTTTCAGTGTTAAAATCACCCATAATTTGCTTTCAGAGTTAACACCACCCATAATTTCCTTTCAGTGTTAAAATCACCCATAATTTGCTTTCAGAGTTAACACCGCCCATAATCTCCTTCCAGTGTTAAAACTATCAGAATTCCTTTCACGGTTAATCCCGCCCAGAAATTCCTTCTCAATAACGACACTTTCTCTCTCTCCGAAAGATCGAGCGAGGCGACTGGTGGGTCACCAAGCACAATTTAGGATTCGCCCTGGACAGAAAAGCGTGGAAGACCATTTCCACTTGCAAGGAACAGTTTTGCAACTTTGACGACTACAACTGGGACTGGACGCTCAACAACCTCGAACACACGTGCTTTAAGCCCAAAATGTCCATGCTCTCGGTTAGGTTCTCGAGGGTAGTCCACGTCGGAAGCTGGTGAGTGTGGGGGAGAGAGGGAGAGAGAGGGGGGTGAGGGCGAGAGAGAGGGGGGAGAGAGGGGGGAGAGGGAGAGAGAGGGGGAGAGTGAGAGAGTGGGGAGAGAGAGGGGGGAGAGAGGGGAGAGGGGGAGAGAGGGAGAGGGGGGAGAGAGGGAGAGAGCGGGGAGAGAGGGAGAGAGAGGGAGAGAGAGCGGGGAGAGAGGGAGAGAGAGAGGGAGAGAGAGAGAGAGATGGGGGGGGAGAGAGAGAGAGAGAGAGAGAGAGAGAGAGAGAGAGAGAGAGAGAGAGAGAGAGAGAGAGAGAGAGAGAGAGAGAGAGAGGGGGGGGGGGGGAGAAAGAGGGAGAGAGAGGAGGAAGAGGGAGAGAGAGGGGGTAGAGGGAGAGAGAGGAGGAGAGGGAGAGAGAGGAGAAGAGGGAGAGAGAGGAGGAGAGGGAGGGAGGGAGGGAGACAGAGGGGGAAGAGGAAGAGAGAGGGGAGAGGGAGAGAGAAAAGGAGAGGGAGAGAAAGGAGGAGAGGGAGGGAGGGAGAGAGAGAGAGAGAGAGAGAGAGAGAGAGAGAGAGAGAGAGAGAGAGAGAGAGAGAGAGAGAGAGAGAAAGAGAATATGGGGATCTAAGCGGTGATTGAATAAGAAAAAATGTGTGCATATATGGGTATAGAGACTTTTTTTTCTTTGTTCCCCTTGAACGGGGATGCCTTGTGAAAAATTAAATTGCATTGAGAGGCGTTGAAAAATAAACGATAACGCGGATTATAGTATTAACAATGATGACGAATGAAACCCATTAAGCAACACTATCGATCCCCTTAAATAATAAATAACGATAATATTAGCCTGGTCCCACACCCCCATGAAACAAACAAACAAATAAAAATAAATGCATATAACAACAACAGCAGCATTAGCAACAGGAACCTTCCCTACGGTCGCTAACCTCACCCTCCGCCCTCTGTTCCCCCAGCGGCACCCACGTCAAGAAGAACAGCTGCGACGTCCGAAGGGAGGTCCAGGCAGCCGTGAGTCGCTTCAACGGGGGCAAGCAGTGGCTGTTCCCCTCCAACCTCGTCCTCCAGGCCAACTACAGGGGCGCCGCCAGGTCCAAGAAGGGCAACGGCGGCTGGGGGGACCTCAGGGACAAGCAGCTGTGTCAGGCCATCGGCAACGGCACCGCGTCGGAGGAAACGCTCCTGCGGCTGCAGTTCCCCGACAGGGAGTGAAGGACGCCGCCCTTCGACGCCCCGGCCTGCGTCCCCGCCTCGCTCGGGATGCAGGGAGGAAAACCTGCCTTGTGAGTGGTTCCGAGGTGAGAGGGAGAGGGAATCGGCTAACGAATAACGGATCGTTTAATATGAAACCCACACACACACACACACACATATGATATGTATATATACACTCACAAATAAGTATGGTTTTCTGCAAGGTATGTTTGAGTACAAGCCAATACGTACAAACTCATTACGCATTTTTACATAACAAATACCACTATAAGGTTTTGATT